TCTTGAAATTCAGCATTTCTTTTATTACTATTAGTAACCCAAGCTAAACAATCTCTAATTCTATTAATATTTTCTTTAATTGTTTTCATACCACTTTTCACAATTAAATTATAACATGGCATGCACAACGTTGGTGAAAAAACTTCAAATTGTTATATAAAGGATTACTTTAAATAATCTATAGCTTTACTATTAGAACTTGCATTAGCTAATTAATTTATCACTTTACTAACAATATGATAATCTTCTAAAACTTCAACAATTTTATTATAAATTTGTTCACCACTATGTGACACATCCATTAATCTAAATCCTAATAAAGATTTATTAATTTACATTCATTATCAAAATAATAACTAGTCACACAAATATAATCTTGTTTAGCTCTCCCACTCCAAATATCGGCAGTTAGAGTCCACCAACATGACAAGTATGTATTTTATTTTTTAATTCTATTCATTTACTAAACAATTTATTAAATCATTTCTAGTTGCAGTTTTAGAATAACTTTTAAATCCTGGAAAAAATGAATTTTGAACAAATCTTTCAAAATATTTATCTTCAGCCATATTAATAGGTGATCAGTTGCAGCATATATAAAGCTAACTGTTTCTTATACATCAGAATTATAACGTCAAGTAGTACCCATATTAGTTATTTGGTTTGATTGCTTCTCTATTTCCATGTTGATTAATATGTTTATTAGCATGCCTTTTAAGTACTATTACCATTACCTGAATCAGCTTTATAAATATTTCCACAGTATTTGCATCTCGCTTTCTTGACTTGAACGCCTTTTCTGTCTCGTAAAACTTGTCGAAATGCGCCCAAACTTCTGATGTGTGCTGTCTTCGGTTTCGACGGCAGTTGATCCTGCCTCAGCTTGAGATGAAGTTACGAACACGACGATTACGAAACACTTTTAGAACCACCGGGAGCTGTTGAAATCGAGGGCATATTTTGAGGTGTATCGGATTCTGAGAATAGGAAAGCGGGACTATTTGAATCTCCTCCTGCATTTATGTTAGTAAAATCAGCGGGATAGGACTAGGATAGTAGTTTCTTCATCATTGTAATTGATGAGAGAGAAATATCTATCCATTGTAGTTGAAAAAAAAAAATGATGTAGAAGAAATAAAAATTAAAGAAAGAGAATTGGAATATGGAATTTGGAAAATTGGAAAATTGGAAATATGAATTAAAAATTGAAAAAACTAATAAAAATTAAAATACGAGCAAATTGATAACAAAGAGATTAAGAGAATAAATGAATAATTGAGAGATTAGAGATTAGAGAATATGAGAGAATGAGAGAATTTGAGTTGTGAGAAAAATGTGAGAGTTTAGGGCCAATTTATAGAAAAAAATGGGAAAGGAAAATGACGAAAAAGACCCTTCCAACGGCTATATTTCGAGGGTAATTTGAAAAAACAAATTAAATTTTATATTTTTTTTTGGGCCAACCCGGCAGGTTAACCGTTATTGTATAACAGCCAACCCACCAGGTTGACAACAGCCAACCCGGCGGGTTGGCGGTCTTCTCTTAGAAGGGACAAAACAGCAACCCGACCCACCCTAGGGTTGCTGCCGGGTTCAACCCTCTTCATTGCGGGCCGGGTTAGGGTTGACCCACCTAACCCGGCCCATTTGTTCCACCTCTAGCCGTCACCATAATATATTTTTGGTTAGGAGTACTATCAGTTACCTCCCCTGAGGTTTCCATAAGTTCGTTACACCCCTATGGTATCCGAAATCTTAAAGACCTCCCTTCACATTTGAATAAATTATCACTTACCTCCCCTCATGTCCTTTTTTCTAACGGTCAATTGTTAAGTCTAGGGGTAGACTTGTAATTGTAGATTTTAACACAAAAATGGAATTAAAATTAAGTAAAAAATGGAAAAAATCAAATAATTTGAAATTAAAATTTTATAAAGAAAATTGAAAAACTAAAAAATTGAAAAAATATAAAATAATATAAAAAATTGAAACAAACAATTCTAAAAAGAAAAATGAAAAGAAAAACTGCAAAAAATGAAAAATTAATAAAAAAACTAGACAATATGAAAAATACAAAATAATTTTTATATTTCTAATAATTTTTAGTCAACAATATTTGAATTTATTTTATGATTTTTGGGAAAATGCGAAAAAAAAAATTTGTTAAGGTCAAATGTGTAATAACAAATTAAATAATTATTCTACAAGGGCAAAATAGGCTTTTTGCAACTTCAATTAACAATTACCGTTAGAAAAGGTGGTAAGGTATTTATTCAAATGTGAAGGGAGGTCTTGATGGTTCTCATACCACATGGATGTAACGACAATTTATGGAAACCTCCGGGGAGGTAAGTGATAATACTCCTTTTGGTTATGAATAATTTCAAGAAACTATAAGCCTAATTTAGCATATTGAGAATTTTAATATGATCAAAAGTATCATACAAGGATTCCAATAAGATAAAAGAATGACAAGTACAAGTTCCAAATGAAATTAGAATGACTTATTTTTAAAATTATTATTAAAGAAACTACACTGGCCGAAATTCTTGACTCTCTCATCTTATAAACTTGTACATACATTTTCGCAAAATTTTTAATGGGATTCATTTTCATATAAAACACTTTGATTTGATGTGTCTTTTTAATGGGATTCATTTTCATATAAAACACTTTGATTTGATATGTCTTTTTGATAAGGGCAATACTATACTTACATCTAGTGTTTTAAAACTCAATCTAGCCCAATTGATTGAACCAATTCAATATGGACTTGGGGCTTTCACTGGACCAAGTTACTAATTTTCCTATTCACCCAAAGCCCTAGAAATTAGGATGATAATTGGTAAACAATTGAAGGCCGAGATATTGGGACTTTTGAAAAAAAATGACCGGTGAATGCAATGATGGCGACGAAGGTGATTTCCAGTGAGTGAATCTATCGAAAATCGAAAAAAACCAACGACAACAATAGTCAAATTTTGCTGGCAATTGGCTAGGCAAATGAGGGTAAAGTGAGATAGATTTTGGTCAGGAGGCTAAGGAGAGTATTTTCGTGATAATGAGGAGGATTGTCGACGCCAACAGTGGTGAGATCTAATTGATTTTGGTCGATTTCGACCAGATCTTGAGTAGATTTTTTAGGGAATGGGCTCAACGGATGATTAGGATTACATTTGGTGTGTTGCCATAGCCAACCAGTCAATCGCCGATTTGTATTTGGGGTGTGTTTGCTAAATTTCAAACTTATAGAGACTTAAAAACTTTTAGGGGTGTATTTGCTTAATTTTATACTTTTTGACACCCAGTTTGACTGGTCGATCAAACTGACCCGACAACTTTGCCAAGTTTCACCTAAGTTGGTTATTAAAACATTGCCTACAATCCAATCTCACAAACTCTCTCATAATCTCTAAGTGATAACTCCCAATTTTTTGCAGATGAATTTTCCAAAATTCAAAATTCATCAACAAAAAATTGAAGCTATCACATAAGAGTTGTGAGAGAAACAAACATTTTAACCTAACACTTGGTTACAAATAACAAAACTATTACAGTTTTGATTACTTTTTATCTCAATTAATTAAAAGTAACCCATGGTGGCAATGACTATTTCCCCCTTAGGTCTCATTCTATCATATTATCCCACACTTCTGACTAAAACATTTACCCTTGATCTGATAAATTTAACAATAAAATCCTAACAGAAAGCTGACGGCATGAGATAAATTAAACAATAAAACCCTAACAGAATACCAACGTCATTTAACATTTTAGAAAGGGTACATCAAAGGGGAAAATTGCCATTAACTACAAGAAAATATTTATAAGAAAATTATAGGATTTCCTTAATACAAATCTTATCGGCAATTTGGTCAAATTTTAAGTCGTTTATAACTAACTAACTATGCTCACAATAATTAAGATAATGATATTTGAAAATCACCTTTTGTATTTCCTATGTTCATCTACCGAAATGGGTTTGGTTCAACTTTGTAGAGATCAATTGAATCTAAACACACAATTCAAACTAAATATTAACAGGATAAATCAAATTGAACACAAATAGGATATGAAAGTGAAAGGGTTCATATCTAAACAACAAAAAATTGATGTTTCTGTAATTTTTTTTATCTCCACTTAGACAAGTTTAAAGGACCTCTCTTTTCCGTGATAGCAATATGCCCACGTTCATTATCTGAAAATTCCAGGACTGTCACTGCCTATTATAAGAAACAAGAACAAATATGACTAAAATAACAGAACCGGTTCAAAGAACGACACTTGTCACGAGTTCTCAGGTTACCTCGATGTCGATGATACCGATTGGTATGAAATTCTTGTGAAGGCAACCACAAGTTTTCTACACTATCTGACCATTCCTAAAAACAAACCAACCACAGATTTATTCGGAGATTCTTTGGGATATAAAAACATTAAAGAAATGTAAACTAATTCAACTTGTAAAATTCTTAATCATTCTTCTTTGCAAAATAAATTAGTATTCTAAAGCTGACAAATCAATAGCTGTAAGGGGTGAGTCAAAGATAAGTGAATAACAAAACGAAAGCAAACAAATCTGTCGTTTTCGTTCCAGCGTGCGTATAGAGACTTCTTACAGAGATTGTTTGGTGAGGAATACAGATTGCAGAAGGACAAACAGTCAAGCAGTCATTCAGGAACCTTTGGAGCTATCAAATAATGCCTACCACTTAAATTAGCAAATAAAAAAATCGACACTATTGAAGATGTTCAGGAATCTAGAATAAAGTCAAGATGTGAAACCACAACAAATAGGAAGATTCCTTTGTAGAAACAAAGCCTAGCGGGGAAATATCTTATTTGGAGTGGCATAGTTTAATTCTTATCTGAAAGCATAGAAAGTAAAAGGAAAAAAGATTAGAATATGAAATACAACCAAACCATTATACATCTATTCTTTTCACTTTCCAGAGTCAAAAGACTCACCTCAAACTTCACCACCTGAACCTACAGTACCATGACAATGTACAAAAAGGGTAAGGTTCTGGTTTAGCATGTCTACAAGTACAATCGTAGGGAAATAATTTAGTTTGTTAGTCGCAAACAGACAGCACAACAATCATATCATACTTTGTATTATTAACTAGTATTTACTCCATATTTCTCAGTTGTTTCAACAAGAAGGTGATAGCAGCACCTCTTCATGACAATCAGAATCAGTATAGAATATCTAAAATTGGGGATTCATAACCGATCACCATTGTAAATTGTTGCATAGTTTTAAGCCATGGTTCCCAGAAAAAGATAAAAGAAAATTATATGAAAGCGATCAAAGTGTTAAACCTTCACTCAAAGTCCCCAGTATATAACTTAAAAGATTTTAAGAATATGAAAAACAAGTGCTGTCAAGGATCAAGCGATCTTTAAGACAACTGCACAGAGAAAACTATTATAGTTGTCGTGCATAGATAGATTGAATTCATAATGATGAAAGTTAGAAACTTCACCTTCAAATATTAAAACAATTACAGTGATACTCTAGAACTAGAATGAAGCTGTAACAATCAAATTATCATGCCCAGCAAATGTTCTTTAGAAAATCTTTGTTACATTCACATTAACAATGATAAGATTATAGAATTCAAGAATACATACATCAATCAGAACAAGTCAAAAAAATAAGGTGGTACTACCAGCATGTTAAGCAAAGTCAACATACTCACAGGGACCATTACCAGCAGAAAGGTTGCCAAATTTCTTTAAGCGATAACAATCATCCTTAAAGTACACTTTGGAGGTGGCGTTATATTATATTGAGGGGCTAAACCATGTATAGAAGATTAAGTGTAGAGACTTTGCTCCACTAACTTGTAAATCTTCTAGTGGACTGACCACCACTTCATCCTACAATTTTGAATCCGCCTTTTTGATAGAAATATAATTACTTTCTTTCCTATCAAAAGGTTTAAGTACATTGTCAAAGAAAGGTGAATCGATACTAATTCTTCATTTGCAAAAGTACACCAATAATAAGAAAATTTCACCATTGACAGAGCTGAGTTCAATGGATTAAATTCAAAATTCTGAGTTCTTAATTTAACTATCATTGTAGGTCAGAACACAGCACATTTTTATGCATGCTGCTAATGTGAAATATATTGCATAAAGCAGTTACAATAACACTCACCATGCCCATCACTGCTAAACCTGATATATCCAAAAAATATACTCATCGATTCAAAGATATATAACCCCTAGAATTCACATTTCATCGACAAATCTTATGACTGCCCAACAAACCTTGTATAGAGCGTAAGAGTATAAACATTCATCCGGATAAGAAAAGCTCATATATCAAGGTTTACAGGTTTACCATTAACTATACTTGTTTGCCAAAAACAGTTCTGCACATGTCAGGTGAAAGAGAACTCAAGTCCCACAGCAGAAGGTCCTTCAATCTGCCACAATATGTCAAAAACCACAATCAAATGTTTATCTATCTTTTTTTTTGTTTTTTCTTCAGGATAGGAGAAATTTATGCACGACTGATATGTCCATAATCTACTTAACATTTTGATTGATCGTAATGACACAAAGTTATGAAGTCAAAGCCATTATCTGTATCCTTTCTATGCTTCATGACTCATCCCAAAGCATTGAAAATGTCTACCACAATATAATTGGCTTTATCAATTTCTGCAGCAGTGTAATTGCTCTTAATAAATATAGCAATTGTAGCTATAATTCATATAACATATGCAAGTACACTGATACATAGACTGGTGTCAAATGTAATTGCAGTTTTGGATAAGAATAGAGATGAGTAAGATAAATAATATAAAAGAACCAACATTGCATCACTATTGTAGACATATCTGCAATGGCTAGATCCATTTAGACTAATATATTTAGCTTTTCTTAACTACGTGCAGCCAAATTTCCCAGTTAAATAAAATGTAGACTGAAAAAGTGTTAGCCAGATATTATATGTAGGAAGCAGACAATATAAATATGTTAGTGGAGTACAACTTGTAGACACCTAAAAGCAGTGCAGCATCTAGGCAGAAGTATGTTTACAAGATGGTACACACACACATGGACAAACACAAATGGATACAAACAGGAAGACAGACATATGCTCACAGAGAGAGAGAGAGAGAGAGAGAGAGAGAGAGAGAGAGAGAGAGATGGCCTTACCATTTATCAGACTAAGCTGTAAGATCCAAGCCAACAATTATTTCTTTTTAGCAATTATGGCCACATTCCTTGGAGATAATACAGGATCAAATATAGGTAACATGACTGCTTCCAGAGAACTGCCTTGCTCCTGGAGGAACAATAATCTGTCCAACAGAATATATGTTTCCAAAAGAGGCCCCAAAGCAGCTCGAAGAGACCAATAAGGTCCTATAATGTCCTGTACATAGTAGGTTTATCAATCAGGACCTAGCTCATACGAATATACATGCACTGAAATCTTATTCTCCTGCCTCTAGCCTAGTAGGCAATACAACTTTCCAAAAGGAGAAAAAAAGAAATAGAGATCAAGCTTATAAAACATTCTTAATGCAATAGTAAATAGGATAAAATAGCATACAGCAAAGGGCTCAGCTTCGTCCCATATCCCACGAAGATTTTCGCTGTCCAATGGTTTGAGACCAAGGCGGCATAATCCAGACTGGCAAAATTTCTCAAAGAGTAGATATTTGTCAGTAGAAACAGCGCTTTCTTGTCTTATACTCTTGTTTGAAGAATTTTCATGAGATAAGGCAGCCATGTCCAAAACCGAGGCTGATTTATCATCTGCAGAACATGTTTTGTAAGTAAAGTTTTTGTATCTTTATAAGATCTCATACTATACAGTTTCCAAAAGGTATATCTACTTGGATTAATTTGAACAGAGACACATCAAACACAGCCATTTGAATGAGCAGTGGTTGTGTAACTCTGCTGCAGTTATGATTTACATTTGCATATAACTTCAGGGCCTTCTTTTTCTTAAACAAGAAGGAAGAAATACTTTTCTTTTTCTCTTTTTTATTTCTTTTAAATGTATTTTAGGTGATTTTCCTGCCATGCAAAGCAAAGGAAGGTTGTCAATTTCAACAGCTAGCTACAGGTTTTAAATTAAATAAGTTCATTGTACCTGCTTTAGGTTCTCCAATCTCCACAGAGGAGCGTGTGGTATCAGAGTGTTTCTGACTGAAAGATGGACATGAGTTTTCTTCACATTGTGAACGGGACTCCAAGATCCTCCTTTGCTGCTGGCGGCGCAATGCCTTCCCTTGACGTCCAACTGAAGGACTTGTTACAATTACTTCCATATAATATCTAGAAAGGACCTTCAGAAGAAAGTTATTCACAGTATAGAATGTCAAAATAAATTAATTTTTTTTTTTCAAACCTTTAAACAGAATGAGAATTGTATAATCTCCATAAAAATGTGGAATGCACATATGAGAGTCACAAAAATAAGAAAATAGAACCTCAAAGCCTTTGGTTTCAAACAATGGGTGAAGGGTTCAACTCCAGACACCTACTTAGGATAATATAGGCCACAAGTCCTGTAGTAGACCCCAGTTTAAAACCCAGTAAACTCATAAGAAAAGTTGGAAAATATATAGGTATAAAAAAAAAATAAAGAAAGAGACCGAAGAGATCCTCTGAGTTCCTTTCCTTTGGTCACTCATGTAGCAACATGCAAACAAAGACAGTCAATGAACAAAGGTAAGGAATGCAAGGTATCATGGAAACTAGTTGTAACATCTCCATACACTCAAATTTCAACATTCTTTTCTCACAGCTTATCCATCGAAATATTTCCTATCAAAACAAAAGGAGCAACAAGGAAAACACCCTCATCCCAGAAGGTGCATAAAGAACAATAAAATGACAGAATTGGCTACAAGATTTAATCATTTTGCACATATCAAAACCATCCAGAAGCATCGCACACACTCCACACACAAAGGGGTAAAGGATGCAAAGCAAAATGGAAACTAACTTACATGAATAAAGACAAATCCAATGTGTTGCAAAGCTAAATAACTAAGCCAACATAAAACAAGATTGAAATACTGCATACCATTTGAAAAGCAGCACGGAAAGCGTGCAGCTCAAAATTATGAACACCAGCATCTCTTTCTAGACTTCCCCATCTCTCTGCACTCTAAACAAAGTAAAGCAAGTCACTGAATTCATCCTAACATAACCAAAAATAAAGCTTGTTCAAAGCATTAGCAGAAAGTTTTTCCGACAAAAGGTTAAAGTATATCAGTCAGACATTTCCCAAAGAAAACTATCGACTAGAGATCTCTGGATTTATATATGTAAAACCATTATTTCCTATGGATCTACATTGTGACTCAAGCTTAACACACCAATACTTTCAACAACTTTATATATCACTTTTGTCATTGTACATAGGAACTGAGGCGCTTTTTCTCGTTCATAAGGAATTTTCAGTTCAAGATCCTATGGAAAAAAATTGTTGTAAAAACTGCTTAAACATCCCAGCCAGTATGACAGTTTTTGCAAGCACGTCTTGTTGTACCCCTGCATATACGTGTTCATCCTATTCCCATGGTTTGACCATGAAACTTGAAGCTTCATTTGAAATCTTTATATATTTCCCAATTAATTATGTTATAGAATTCTTATACACTAAATTAGAATATTAGTCTAAAGAGTATAACAGATTGTGCATGATTTTCATTTCTTCTTCATTTTTGAAAGCATATATAGCAAAATCTCACCACTCTTAACTGACGTTCAGACTCCAAAAGAAATGCTTGAGACTTTGGTCTCTAGAATGAGGAAAAAGAACAAGCAAATGTATCAAAGTTGAAATCTCTAGAATCTAATTGCATTAAAAGCTTTGGACAGGGAGCTAGAATTCCCTGCACAAAAAAAGTCTGACGAACTTTTCGTTTCTCTTGATAATTTATTCAAAGATTAAAATAACTTTATATTCATATATCTGTGTGTCATCAAATCAATTGTACTGCCGAGGAGCAAAATCTGGATTCTTTCAACATCTGTCCCGCATGAGAGAGATTCTCTTATACAGTTATCATAAAAAAAATGGAAAGGCGAGAAGAATAATACATGATAAAGAAAGAATATTAAATCCTAATAAGATTTTCCATTTTACCATAACCAATGTAGTCTAAAAAGATTTAGGCAGGCCAAAACAGGTCACTTTATCTCAAGTCTAGGTGTTAGGACTATAAGCCAAAAACGGTTCTGCAATGACCTGCGGGGGAGCTATAGTGTAGCATGCCCCAGGATCATGAGCACCAGACCAGTTCCATTTTCCCAATACCTCTTGATAGTTACACCATTTCTATTTTTTTTTTTTTTTTTGTTTGTTGGTGATTTACAGCACTCAATATTGTTTATTTTCTTCATTAGACCTGGTAATCGACACAAATCCTAACAAACAAACAAAAACCCCACACATGTCAAACTGTCATAATGTCACTTCAAAAACCAAATAAGAAAAGCAAGAGATACACGTACCTGACAAGCAAGATCACGCGAACTTTTTCCAAGAGGAAAGTTAGCAGATTTAACACCAGAACTCATTGGAAAACCACAAAGAGAACCAGCAATGTCAAATCCTTCTTCAGATAATAAGTTGTAACAGCAGCCGATGCTAACAACTGCATTAACTTCTTTGCAATCCACAAAGGTCCTGGTCCAATAAATACATACTTTTAAATTGATAAATAAGATATATAACGCCCATTAAACAAGAGATATTATAGTAACAACAAATCGCCAGAAAAAATTTATATTAAAATAAACCAGTCTGGCAATAAAAATCCAGAAAACAAAATTGGTAGAGCCACAACATGAATTTGCTATAACTTCTAAAAGTGAAAGAAGAAACATGGACACAAAGAATGCAGAGTCCAACAGCTTATATACCAAAGCCAACATGTCCTAGCAGTTTGATCATCGAAAGATCGAGTTAAATGACCAATATTTACCTACCTTGTCCCTCTCTTTCTTTTACATTATTCACAATTAACTTTAATTTTCCCTCAACATTTTTGCCCCCCTAATAGCAATCATATGAATCTCAAGGTATTTAAAGATTCACGAAAAATTCAATTATTTCATACAGACATGTATATGAGAATTTCAAAAGATTTAATTTCTGTATGTTACAGATGTACATGACTTCCTAGATGATGGGGATCACATTAAAATCCTTGATTATAGGGATCACTTCTATCCTAATTTAGATTGATCACCTACCTAGTTTAGAACACTACAAGTGTATATAAATATGTATCCTTTTAAGCTAATAATGAGAAGTGTGAATATTCATTACGTTTATTTTACACTATATAACATAAAGAGATACCAAGATAATTTTGACATATCTAATTGATGATTATTTTGAGCAGCAAAGTACTAGCATCAAGTTTCTCAACATTGCGGTAGAGTGACTGTCCTCATGTACAAACTTGTATCAATACTGATGATTTTTTATTGCAGTAGAAAAATAAACTAATATTTGATCGAAATTAGAAGTGTAAATCTCTTCAATTGCACACATGTTCAGTTTTTGTTTCATAACTATGAACTACATTGAAAGATGGAGAAGCACAGATTGGATACCAAACCTTCTACATTTCACACTATTTGCAATTTCTAATTTCAAACATCTCATACTCGTACGACGTTTAAGAGGTAAAGAATCAACAAAATTTTAATTATTACTTGTCCATTATTATCACGAGCAAGTTGAATGCTATGCACATATAAAGTTTTATAATTTACTACTACAATTCATGCCTCTTCCAAGAAATCATTGACATTGATATTAGTTAAAATCTCCACAAAAGCTTTCTCCTTCATTTCAGGAATTGCTATATCATCATATAATAAAAATTACAATGCAATTAATATGAGAATCAAAGGCTAATTGTTTTTCAATAACTTCTCAACTTTGAAATATACATAAAGCATACATAAGTTATTACTTCAGAATCACGAAACCGAAAATGCTACTTGTACTCATTTGTAGATTCGAAAGCTCATAAGGTACCTAATGAGTGAATTACAACATACATAGCCTATACGTAGAATCGTGTATAAATTAGTACTAGATATGGACTAAAAAATGACTTTCATTCCACTCTTAATTTGGAAAGATATAAGCTTCATATAGAATACTCACTTAAGCATTGTTACTGATAGATCTCCACAAGCATGAAGTCCAGCAAGAACCAATGAAATTTCACTTTCTGCATTGCCTGAAGATTTTAGTTTTCTTCGATCGAGTTTTTTATTATTTTGCAACATTAGCTTTGGCTGCTCAGCATCATCCTTATGTAGCGACATGTTGGTTAAAGCTCTCAGCATGTCAATAGACATTACCTGGCATGTAATTGTCTTGGGCATATTCAAACTCTTGTTTTCTGATCTAAGTGAATAGATAATTACAAATAGTCAATGTGTAAGTCAAGAAATGAAAGTTACATAAAAAAACTGTTTCAATTATGGTAATGGTAAGTAGTGGACAAACCATTTAAACTTCTAATAATAACTACAGACATCACTATGGAATATGAGGTGATCAAGCAGTATCAAATACTTAATGAGCACATCCTGAGCAGCCTATTATAAATATATTCATAAATTATCACAAGCACCACCAAAACTACCCAGATCCATGCTCAAAATGACAAGAAAGCTTCTATCACTTTTTCTTAAAATATGTATACCAAACAAATAAACTATGTCTGTTGATCGAATGAATATAGTACCAATTATAAAAGTTATCATTGCATATATTTTAAAATAGGACCTATCAAACAAAACTACAACTGCACAACATGAGAAAGATGCTCAGACATTATGTTAGTGATTTCAAGGTATTGAAGATTTCTTATGTATAAGAAATCAAAAGGGAAATCCCATAAATACCCAAACTTCCGCATCTGAGCTGCATAATGCTTTTTGATTCGTTCTGCACGTGCATTCATAACCTTTCCATGATGAGAACAAGCATCTATCGCAACTACAGAATGTTGGAACTGGAAGGATAGAACTTGTGCAAGATAGCCCTACAAAACCAATTCAATCACAAGTAAAGAACTGCAAAAGAAACAAACCAAAAAGATTATCTTGTTCCAGAAAAAATCTATGTTATAAGACATACAGTTTTGAGAAGTGGATATCATTATCTAACTTACAGTTTCTAAAACTGAACAAACAAACTGCTTATTTCGGGAAAATAGAATAAATGAAATTGATGTCTTTGAGTATATTAAAAAGTTTGATTTGCTGGCTGCACAAACTCTGTTAGAGGAGTTAACCAATATTTCCATGAGACTATTAGTGGGGGTAAAATTGCAAGAATTTCTAGATTTCATTAACAAAATATGACTAGTGTCCAGTATGAAACTAAAGCTCAACCATCTATCACCATTTACTCCTAAAAAGGTGAACTTCAGCAAAGATTGGACAGAAAAATTTGCAAATAGGCTAAGGACTTCCATCGAAAGTATTGTGTCGGTCACAGGATATAACATTCATGATAAAGTGGCAGCCCTAAGACAAAGAGTGGAACAACTTAATGATGATTGCCAGAGATATCAAGCATCACTGAAATAGCATTCTAGCAATGCTAGGAAAATGACAAGAAAGCAAAAGATGAGATCCCATTAGGTCAGTAATAAGACTAATTCTTTAGGTACTAGATAGGGAACAAACATTAGCGATAAGTGTAAAGCCTTGTATTTTGTATCATTATTCTAGAAATTAGCTGCCTTCTTCTCTCTCTCAAGAGAAACTCAACCATTTTGTTGACAAGGGTGGTTCGCCACATCACGTCGGTAATGACACCCTATATTTTTCTCCAAATAATTAACACTACATTATAAAATTAAACAAAAAAAAAAAAAAAATGATCCCAACAACCAATAGCTGTCACAGCTACATTCAAAATTCATCAGATATTCAGTCAAGCAGTCTCAGTTTTCCAATCACTTAAACAGAAATTAAAAGAGCAAAAAACAAAGAGGGCACACCTGGCCAGCACCAACATCAACTATAGTATCAGTGCTTACACTATTTGCTACCGAATTTACAACAGCAGAAAGAACCTCCACCTGATTGCATCATAAACAAACTACAATTCAGACTAAAGAGAAAGAAAACCAGAAAGACAAACTGGGACACTCCAAGAAAAACATATCAATCTTATGATGGTATGACACACACCAACATCGATTTGTCACTTTTTACAGGCATAAAAGAAGAAAAAAAAAACAATAGAAGAATATAGAATATAACTACAGATTGAATTCGAATGACATACTTCATGTTTTTTCTTCAGATTCATGCCTTGAGCAAGAACACTGCTAATTGATGTCACTTTCCATCCAGGTAATACCTGCAACAAGCCAAGTTGTTGATATGCTGAGTGATCAAAAGAGGTCAGACAAGAAGATTAAATTCAGCTCCTGCTCAAAACTGGTGAACTAGAGTAACTTCAATTGCACCAGTCCCCAATGAACTTTCAATAAAATTAAGAATAGATAAACAAATCATTGACAAGGCTACCACCATGGTAATGGCCCGGTAATGCAACCAAGCTAGTTGCCAAAGCAAGAATAAAACATATACCCACCACACATTGCATGTTATCGTAATGACATTGTCCTATAATTCAAATTTTGTTATCAAATAGACTTCGAGCATTACACATCACAAACATAACATATTTATTACTAAAAACTCTTTTTCTCCTAATAATGTTACCGTGGTTTGCATCTCAGTATCATAGTAATTTTCTAACAACAAATATACAAATTAAACTCTTACTATACACCAGCGGTTTAACCTTACTCCACAAACACATCTTCACACATTAAACATTGAACATAGATAAAAAATTAAACTTCTCACATTAAATCATGACACTTGCTGTATAATAGTAAATTCCATATAAGAAAAATTAAGAATATGCGCATCGTTGAAATGATTTTGAAAACAGTTTTGTCTTTTGTGCATACAAGTCCGAAAACTAGTTTAAATTCAGAACAAAAAAAGGTCATTTTCTTCATTTATCATAGCTTTTTAACTCTGAAAACAGTTTTTAGATATTAAATCGAACACATTCTCGAATATTTAAATTGAGATATAAATTGTAACCTAATTTTGAAGGAAAAAAAAAAAACTTATTTTCTTATTATTGTATCACAAATCATACGGAGCCAAAAAAATTCAAACCTTGTGCAAGTCCGCTTGCTTTCTAGGAAGCACAAGAGACTTCAAAGTAAGAACAAACTCCTTAAGTGAATCAGGCCAATGGTCCTATAAATTAAAGAGCAAAAACTAATTATACACAAAACAAAATGCAACTACAACGCAATGACAATAGAGATAGCTAATTGTGTAATAAGAACGCGAACCTGGACGACTCCGGAGGGAATGAGGAGAAGATTTTCGATAGGTTCATTGCGAAGACAATCAATCCAATCTTTATCAACGGCTTCCCAGAGTTTGTCGGTGAAGAAATTGACGACGTGAGCATTTATTAAGAAAGTGAAAGGCTGTAAGAAATCGACAATCGCCTTGATCCATTGGAGAGTATCGGTAGCAGTCTCGCATGAGTACGGGCACTGCATCGCCATTTGCATAAGCTTTGAGGCTCTGTTCGTTTTTAGGCGTTGAGTATTGTGTTTTCAAATTATATTCAAATTTCGAGAGGGTATCTTAATTAAATTTAACCAAAACTTAGGGACTCTGTTTATTTCGGGGATAATAACATTTTCATCCCTGACTTTCGTAACTTTACTTTGTGTCTTTGTAAAAAAATTTAGTAACTTTTGGTCCTGTCAATAACATTTTGCATCTTAGGTTTACCAAGAATAGAGAAAAAAATTCCAGACAAGGACTAAAATGTTGCTAAAATTTTTTACAAAATTAAAAGGGATATTATCAATAGGGTAACAAACTTTTTGGCCGTTTGCATCGGGGGTATATAAGATAACGGGGGTAATCTTCGTTTATTAATCTTCGTTTATTTTGCAAGATTCTGGTGTTTGGTTTGTAAGTAATAAAATATTACGGTAATATTTTATTGCAAATAGTGTTTATTATTGGTAATGTGGGAGGTAATCTTATTACCATGCTAGGGAGTGTTAAAACATTATCGAGATAATCTAATTTTTCTACCCATTTTGCCCTTAATTAAAAACCATTTTGGACACAATTGCCCTCAAATGTCTACCAAATAACAATTACCCAACCCCCTATATTTGAGAAATTAGCTAAAACCCCCTAGGTACAAAAAAGTTTAAAAGTTAATAAAATACCCCTAGCCACCCAAGACCACTGCCGGCCGTTGGCATCAGTCGTCGTAATGGTGCACGACCAATGGGATCTGGTCAGTCATGTGCCAATAAGGCCTTTTCTTGCCATGGATCATAGATCCATGGTCGGAAACGACCAGATCTAGCGTTACGACCACAGATCTAGCCATGAAATGGCTATAGATCTGGCTATTTTCCGGCCATGGATCATAGGCCATTTTCGGCTTTGCCGGCGCACAACCAGCCATATACTGCTAGTCATGCGTCATTCCATCGACTGTCGGCAGTGGCTGATGGTAGTGGCTAGCTGCCGACAGTGGTTTGGGGTGGGTGGGGGTGATTTTGCTACAAAGTAAAGTTTGATATGGCTAGACTGTTTTAGCAAAATTTCAAATGTAGGGGGCTAAAATGAATTATTCAAAAAATAATAATAAAAAATACTATTATATTAATATTTAAAAAGGAGGGCAATTTAGTAATCTATATAACATATTATATACCAATTTATTCAAACCAACCAAACACATTTTCTAAACATTCCTAGTAATCTTCAAGATGGTCTTTCTTTCCATTAATATAACATTCCTCTATAATAAAACATTACATGATCCAAACGTCCCCTTTATACTTTCTGGGAGGACAAAAGTTTTAATTTATTCAATTAGGAGACGATAAACTACTTAGGGTGCGTTTGGTTCAGGGAATGTTGAATTACCTTGAATATTACTAAAAATCTTTAAGGAAACGTGTTTGGTTAGTTAGAATAAATTAGTAGGTATATTATATTAATATGTTTGGTTGGGAGGAATAAATTGGTGGCTATGTTATATAAATTACTAAATGAGTAATACTAGCCTTACAAAGAGACATACAAAGAGTCAAATCCAGCCCTTAAAATTCATGATTGCCTTTTTCTCTCTCTCTTTTTCCCTTATTTCAAGGGCTGGATTTGACTCTTTGTATGACTTTTTGTACGTCTCTTTGTAAGGCTAGTATTACTCTTACTTAATTACTCTCATTTTTAAATATTAATATAATATTATTTTTATTATTAATTTTTGAATAATTTCTTTTAACCCCCAACATTTCAGATTTAGCCAAAACACCTAGAGCTTATATAAAACTTTAATTTGTAACAAAATCACCTCCACCCACCCTAGGCCATTGCCCGCTACTAGCCACCACTGCCGGAAGTGAAAATCATCGGGAGTCACCGATATAGCAATAAATCTGGCTAGAAATGGCTAGATTTATTCTGGCCATTTCCGGTGACAGTCGATGGTCGTTGGCCAGCTGTCTGCAGTGGTTAGCCAGCTATCGACGGTGGTTGGCCAGCTGTCGGTGGTGGTTGGCCAACTGTCGACGATGGTGGTCTGCACTTTGTTTTACATATAAGGGCATATTGTCCAAAAACTTAATTAAACAAGGGTAAAATTGTAATGGCTGATTAATGTTAATTGTTTTCAAAACAAAGGCATTATTGTCCAAAAAAATTTTTAATAAGGGGTAAAATTGTAACAAAAATAAGATTATCAAATAATCTTAAAATACCTAAGAAAATTGAGGTAATCAGATTATCTCCATTATTACTAACAGTAACTACGTTTTAGAAGATTACTGAAATTTTATATTACTTGACAATCAAACGTGATAATTATCAAGTAATATAATATGACATTACCTCAGTAATCCAACATTACCTCCAACCAAACACACCCTAAGGGTTAGATTTAACTTTACATAAGGGTAAAAATGTAATTGAACAAATTATTCTTTTTTACAAAATAAATAATAAATTAAAAAACTAGTAAAAGGTTTAAATTATCCCTTTTTTACAAAATAAAGAAAAAAATTAGTTTTTTATTTTATTAAATTTTCTTTTAGTTTTAAATATCTTAATTTTTTTGTTTTTTCGATTTTCTTTAAAAAATATGTTTTGGTCTTTTTTTAGTTTTTCAAAAAAAATTAAATTTATGTTTTAAAAACTAAATTCACTTAAAAAAAAAAAGAAAAAGGATAAAAATCAAGGCATCTAAGTGATTTATCATTTTCTGTTAAAGTTTATGTTTTAAGAACTAAATAGCAAATAACCGTTAGATGTCTCCTAATTAAACAAATTGTAACATATATCCTCCCATTGATAAAATTTGAAAAGTTTGTACCGTGACTGATAATATACCAAACTAAAACTACTTAAGCTAAAATTTGGAAACCAAATTATTCTTTTTCCTCGTTTCGTTAAAGAGTTTAAAGTTACAATTTATCGATATCACTAAATAATATTCTCTATATCATATAATTAGAACAATTATTTAAGTTCTCACTATTTTATTAGGGTGGTTGTCTGAATAAACTTTTCTTTAAAATGCATCTCCAAATGTATACTAAATGAAGTTGAACCTCAAAGTAAATCAAATCCAAAAAATTTCACCAAAAAATAAAACCAAAGTGAGAAAAGGGAAACTAGTACATTTCTAAGAAAAATACCTTATTGAGAAATTCTATAAAATTCACAAATCACCAAAGTGAATCAGCCTCAACTCTACCCAAAATTTTAAAGCTCGAATCCTTGCATTACAAATTGTAGATGCTAAAATCTATGGTTGTGGAGATAGGGTCAAATCACGTGAGGTTGAGGCCACTGGCAATTCGTTGTACCTACACAAAGAGCAAACAAGCATGGAGCTTACTTAGACACAGGTGTGGTGTCTGCTATAGGCACTTCGACGATCAAGTTAGTAAAGTTGAATGAGGCAATTTAGTACGGGTAAGGGAAGGAAAGGTTATCAGAGCTCAAGTCGGAGACTAGAACCACGGCGTAGTAGGATAGCTCTCAAGAGTAAGAGCTTGGGTGTTGGTAGGTGATATTGAGGCTGAATGCCTAAACAGGGGAGTGACCTTTGTTTATATAGTAGTTGTTGGGTCCTTGTATCCTAATAGGACTCTGAATCCTTAAGGGTAAAGGTCTCGTGAATAGGAAAGATCCTAATTCACTTGACTTAATAGTAATAGGAGTCATAATCTGCCTAAGATACAGAATCTTAGGAGAACTAGGATAAAGTAAAATAGGAAGAATGCTACTTACCTTGGTCTGGAAGGTCTGGCATTAGGTGGGCCGCTGGAGTTGCCCATTGTTGAAGAAAGCTGGATCTGGAGGTCGCGGTTCGGCCTAAGTCATGAGCTCTGGTACTGATCCAACTGAAATTGGATCACAACGCTTGGGCTGATGTAGTGGAACATTCCTGTTTGGGCCTGATAAGGCCTCATATGATTTTAGGCCCCCACATTTAGCCCCTCATTCTCTAAGCTAAAGAGTCTTTAGCTTGGAGAGTATATGGTCTGATGGAAGCTAATCGAATAGAGAGGTGGTCTGCCGAGTCGGTCGAGTATCCTTATTCGTTGAGTGAGATGCCTTGTCTTGGAGAAAGTTGCAAAGACACTGTTGACTATATTTTTGCAAACTTGTGAAACTGGGTCTACTCAGCTGGTCGATCCGAATGTTAGAATGCACGGCGTTGTACTAGTAGCTGCGTCCACTTGGTTGACTGAGCCGAGCGGTTGGATGCAAGAAACATCCCTTGAAGCTAAGTTCGTTTGGTTGACAGTCAAGCTTCGTCTGAGCGCAATAGGGTGGCGTTAGGAGAGCGGGACACGTGTACTATAGGGTTACCTATGTTTTGAGCGGGAGACAAGACATTCGGGTTCCCGAGGCAGTCCTATCGTATTACACCTGTACAATCAAGATTTCTTCTTTCTTTTAAGCGGGAAATCGAAGAGTCGCAACCAATTGGTTGTTGCCGCATGTTGTCTTGGTAGGCTAGGTGATTAAAAAGAGAAGCACTCATTGGCAATTGTTCATCTTTGCCTTCACTTCGTTCTCCACTTTTTCCAGGAACTTTTCTTCGGTTGTCGTCGAAGCTTTTTCAATAGTTTTTCAGCGTTTGTTCGCGGTAATTCTCTTTTCCTTCAGAAAAATTGACTTCTTTTCTTTCCTTCTCCTTTCCATCTACTTTAGAGTTAGTTTAGGCAAGTTTTTAGGATTGCTTTTCCTCAGGTGGTTTGAAGTACCAATTTTTCCTTTTGATTTCTTTGCAACTCTATGGAATTCCCAAAGGTTTGAGGCATATCTTTAGATCTGGCTAGATTTCGAGGATAGGCTCAATTTCTTGGGACGATTTTGGTAAGTCTTTTGAAATTTTAGGAGAAAAAGCTTTTAAGGATTTGGGTTTAGGAGTTTAGGCGCTACTAGGGAAATTTCTCGGAATTTTGAGTTTGGAGAAAGAAGAGTCAATTTATTCACTGTCACCATTCGGTATGCT